AATTTTTGATATGATATATACTTAAGTAGTCCCTAATTTTAGGAATAAACAGTTCTTATTAAGGACTGTTTGTTTGTTTCTTTTCCAACGTTAAACAATTGCTTTAACTTATTGCAAATTCTTTTAAAAAACTAAGTCTATTTTAATACTTAACTTGGAACTGTACATAATTTAGCATAAATTTGTATCAATTTATCAATTTTTTATTGCAAATTAAAAGAAAACTCATTATTATTTTTAATTTGGGTAAGTTTCTGAAGTTTCATTCTGTTTTGGATCTGATAATTACTTTAAGGACGGCTTATATTCATAACATTAGCATTCGTTACTGAATTACAAGATTTTTAATCACTTGAGCGTCAAATTAGAATTGTACACAATTTATCAATTTTGGTCAAAATTTGAGGGAAAACATTATATTTTCTTTTAATTTGGAAAAGTTTCTGAATTTTATTTTTGGCTTGACTTGAATCTGATAATTACTTTATTTATTCTTTCTCGTTAAAATTTTATTACTTTTTTTAGAATTTTACGATCTTTTTTATAAGAACTAGAGGATCAAATGGGGTATACTATTTAAGAATTTTCAAAAATTTTTATCGTTTAAAACTTTAATAATTTTATGAAATTCACTGTCGTTTCAACTGCATCTGATTATTACTTTAAGTATTATTTATCTCTAAAATTTTCGGTTTCAACGTTAAAGATTTACAATTTTATTTTCAATTTAATGGTTACAATTTTTTAAAAGCTTAAGCACCAAATGCGATATTTACATAATTATTTATTTTAGTCAAAATTTAAAAGAAAAATTCATATTTAATTTCAAATTTGGGTAAGTTTCTGAAATTTTGCACTGGATTGTTATAAAGTTTTTAAAAGTTTGTTTTCATTTTTTTGACAATTTGCTGAAATCCTGTCTCCACCAAATTCTTACTTGGAGTATTCTTTGTTCCTAAAATTGTCATTTTCAACATTAAAGATTTACTTGCTTAACCTTTTAAAAATTAAAATATGCTTGATGTATTTTACTCGTCAAAAGGGTTAAAATACTTTATTTTCCATGGTAATTTTTGTACACAGGGTCATACTCGTTCTAAATTTCCAAAAATTTGACTAACCAAAATTTTAACCTACGGAATTTTGCAGCTCAATTTTGATTCACCTTCTGATTGACAACACCTCTTCACCAGCAAAATTCGTGTAAATTAATATTTCAATTAACCTAATTTTTGAAAATGTTTTACCTACCTAATACAACCCAGTGTACAAAAACTACTATTAAAACTAAAGAATGGAAACCCAGCGGTTTATTAACTTGCATAATTTTTCAAAATTGTACACCATTTAATAAGCGAATTGCTCACTTAATTTCTAAATAATAAAAAAGCACGTGGAGAAGAATTAAAGTATTTTCCCTCGAGTGAAAGAAAAAAAAATAATAATAATAGTATTTATTATACTGATCTTATCATAATATGTGATACAAAAAAAACATCTCATGTTACAAATTAGAGAAGGAGACTCTACCAACATTAGTTAATTTAAGTAAGCATCATACATGGTTTCGACAGTTTACAAACTCTCTAAGCCACTACTATTAGTTATACATAATGCTTAATAATACTTATAAATACACACTTACAACATGTTTTGTTCTCTCAGCGTTAAAATTGTTTCATATTTGCAACTAAATATAGTGCATTTTTCCCTGTATTCGGTATTAATTAATCTAATTAATGTGGGTAATGTCGAATTATAATATTTTACATTTTTAATTTACATATTTAAAAAATGCTCACTGCGTACATTAACATGCACATACATTACAAACATTTCAGTGAATTTCTACTTTTAAGTACACTCTTAGACAACTGGTATTGAATTTTTATGAATCATTACCGGACGGAGTACATATGTCACTCTACCGGCATCGGTAATATCGATCGTTACGGCGTAGTAATGAGTTGGTAATGAAATCTGTACCGCTCAGAATCAAACTATAACCAATCCAGTAATGAATTATTACCAAATCAATACTAACCCGGAGTACATATGTGACTCAACCGGATGCTTTACAGTGTATTTATTTACACGCAAACTGGATCTGCAGATTTTTCCTTATCTTTTTTATCGTCAACCTTTATTTTCCGGCTTTGAAGAATTTCAAGTGAATGAATTACACAGTTTGCAAATATTTGACTGAATTTTCACTTAACTACTTAACGCAGGACTCGACATTCTGTCACCAAAATCGTCAAAATCATCACATTTTGAATAATTTCTACCCACTGGGATTTTATTATAAAATTCTGAACGAAAAATTTGTAGAGCAGTGAGTTACCAATTTAAAAAAAAATATATACACTCCAGATTTTTACACTTTTGAAGGAGGATTTCTCAAGCTTAAGCTTTCAGAAAAATTGGAACTCATCGAAACTGGTTGAAAAAACTCACTGACCGCAAATTTGTCGTTCAGAATTTTAAAATAAATTCCCAGGGGAGTGAAACGATTAAAACTGTGTTGATTTTGACGATAAGACTTCGAGTAATGCGTCTTGATTTAAAAATTTACTCAAATATTTGCAAACAACGCAATTCATTCACATGCATGTAAATCTATAAAGCCGGAGAATGAATTTTGCAAAATAAAATATTCCACAACAAATATTTTCAGATCCGGCGCAACTCCCGTAAAATTTTACTGAAATGTCTGTAAAGTGTGCAAGTCACGAAAAATGTGTACAATTTTGATGTCTGCAGTATATAAATTTTTATTTTCAATCGGGAAAAAATATTTCAGTTACCAATAAACACTTAATATTTTTAGGTTATACTAACAATGCAAGTCTTTTACGTGTACAACTCAGATCTGGTTGGGACCAATTTTATTTTGCTCACCACAAAAAATTAGCATACCCATATTTTTTTATTTTTCATAATGCGCTAATTTGAGCGCGAGGCGCGAATTTTAAAACATTTTTCAGCCAAAACCTCGCTTTTTAAAAATCCCGTAAATTTTCGAATTTTAGCGCGAATCCAAAAATTCGAAAACATGTCTCTTCAGAATGACTTACCTGACTTATGAAAAATCCAAATGGATTATTTTTTGAAAAATTAAAAATTTGAAAGAGTGTATAATTTTAATGAATTTCAAAAACTGGCAAAAAAATTTGAAAGTCAAATTTCGAGACAATTGAATTTTCCATAAGTCAGGTAAGTCATTCTGAAGAGAAATGTTTTCGAATTTTTGGATTCGCGCTAAAATTCGAAAATTTACGGAATTTTTAAAAACCGCGGTTTTGGCTGAAAAATGTTTCAAAATTCGCGCCTCGCTCTCAAATTAGCACATTATGAAAAATTAAAAAATACGGGTATGCTTATTTTTTTTGTGGTGAACAAAATAAAATTGGTCCCAACCCGATCTGAGTTGTACACGTAAAAGACTTGCATTGTAAGTTTTTAGATAATTCATCTTTTTTATTGGTAACTGAACTCATAGCTCGTGTTAAATTGGTGCATTCACTCTTAGAAATGGGGTTACGATAATAACCAAAAAGTAAACGTATGTAACTCTACCGCCGTGGCTATGAATTTGTCAGCAACTGGTTATAAATTTATTAACTCTGGTGGCGATTTAATACCAAGTCGGTGAAACTTTATGATTAGTTGGTGACAATTGTAACCACTTGATGACAAATTTATAACCACGGCGGTAGAGTCACATACGTAACGTAACTGTACTGTACTGCATGTAGATTTATATTTTTACATAAAAAATACAAATCAAGAAATTTCAATCGTTTCAAAATCTAGATAATTTTTTCTAATCCTAAATTTACGAAGTTGCGACGAACAAACTTGATAATACAATAGTTCGTAATTTCTTTGAGCAAAGAAATCGACCCATCATTCGATTCATCACATTTCGACCCCAATTTGATATCGTTCAAATATTTGCAAAATATTCCAAATAATTCCAATGTAATCAAAATGTATGCTAAAAAATTGCGATTAATTTTGCTAATGTTGGACGCCAAATTGTATAATTTCATAACTTACGAAAGTTATATGATTTGTAGATGTTGTCTATTTTTGCCTCTAATTTAGCAATCCAATCAAAATTTTATTAATTCAAATTCAATTTTTTATTTTATAAAATTCTATAAAACGTAGGAAAAAAATATATTAAAAACATTTTTACATCCTTTTCAAACATTGAAAATACAAACAGTGAAGTTTCCTACACTCTTAATAATCCGATAAAGTAATGATTTCTAGGTAATAAATTTTGTAAGAATATTTTACCAGGTAATAAAAATTCGTTGCCATAATGGTAAAACTTTATTGTCAAGCCATTCCCCCACACGGCACAACTTATCATTACCACTTTGGTAGAGTCATACTTGTGATTTTCGGTAATGTTTATTACCAGATTATTTACAGTGTGGTGGTCTACTTTGGTCTACTTTAAATGGTCTACTTTAAACCCATGAAAATTAAAGCGATTGATTTTCACAATGCAAAAAAAAATTATAATTAACTGATTAATTCCTAATTAGTGAATTCGTGAGTCGTGACCATTGTTTGAAGTTACCAAATTCCCAGTTTTTGCAGGGAAATTGAGTGTTTCGGGTGCAAGTAAGAAATGTGTAAGTTACATATTTCTTGTTAAGGAACTTAGTTTTTGTATGGAAAACATCGAATTTGCACTACGCATGCTCAGATAAAGATAACAACCACAAACTGATCAAATACATGGTAAAAGCCAGCTAAATAAATAATAAAGATTTTTTTTAATTTCATACAAAATCTGAACAGATTATTTGCACGATTACGTATTTTTACACAGGCCATGCAGAAAGTATGGGGCAGAATTCGCAATCTAATTAAACGCTTGCAAAATAAAATGGCACGAAAACATTTCTGCATGATCCCTCCCTTCATCTCAATATCGCAAATGCATGAAAATTAAATCTAAACTCATCCAAATCATTTCATTTAAACGTATTAGAAATTGCAAATAATTCTAGGAAAACGAATTAAAATAGGATCAACTGTTTGCACAGATTTGTGAAATTTTGCAAAATCAAATTTTGCGAATTGCGTTACCAACATAAATTTTTCGAGCTTTGCAGGCTTGCTAAATGCGAAAATAAGACGTCGATGTTGTACTTATTAAAAAAACATTAAATTGCAAAGAATTCAAAAGATCAACTGTTTGCACAGATTTACGAAATTTACAAAATCAAATTTTGCTAAACGCCTCACGACCACAAATTTTTTTAAACTTAGCAAGTTTAAGTTTGTTAAATACGAAATAAGCCGTCGCCGTGAGTTGTACATTTATTTCAAAAATTAAAATCATTTGCAAAATTTGCAAAATTTAATTTTGCAATTCGCGTCACGAACATAAATTTTTCAAGCTTCACAAGTTTACTAAAATAAGACGTCGTCGTTTTTGTACTTTTTCAAAAATTAAAATTGAAAATAATTGATGGAAATCAAATCAAAATAGAATCCTGAATTTGTGCAGATTTGCGAAATCTAATTTTGCGAATCGTGTCACGAACACATATTTTTCAAACTTCGTAGGTTTGTTAAACACGAAACACAAGTCGGTGACTACGCTCAGTGTACATTTTGTTCTTCAAAAATCAAAAAAATATGGTGGTCGTAAAATCGTTCCCTCCGAAAAAATCCGTGCTAAATTTAAAATTAATCGTCGCATTAGGGTCGATCTTTTTAGTGGGTTTGGTTTCCGGGAAGGGTGAGGATTACTACACGTCGTTGGTGGGTTTGGGTCAGCTGGCGGTGCATGAACAGGTCATCCTCGAATCCGTTCTGGACAACAAGACCGCCCTCCTAAAGAGATTAGGACTTATCGAAAGGTAATGTTATTCGAAATTCAGACTTTTTCTGGGAAATTTTAAATCAACTTTCGCATCGCAACCATACCTGTTCAAAAATTGAGTTTTTATTCAAAATTAAATCATCCCAATTTCTGACTGACGATTTTCATTCATATTCAATCATTTTCTTTCAATTTCATTTCACTTCACTTCATCCGACTTCAGTTCTTACTTCGCTCAATTCATTAAGCATAGGGTGAAAAAATGAGTGAGAAATCACTTGATTCACAGTCACTCATCCGAAATTGCTGAATCTTTCAGCCATTTTCATTCAAATGAGGGGTATATCATTTTCATTCACTATCATAATCCTTCAAATGAATGAAAGTGAACAGGTATGATCGCAACATAACTTAAACATGTGACCATTACTATCCTTGGAGTTAGCAAATGATTTTTGATGCCAAAATTTTAGCGAGAATTAGCGAACTTACAAGCTTTCGAACTATTTTACAAAAATAGTAACAAGTAACTTAATTAATTGTTTAATAAAGTGATTCTAACTTTCGTAGGATTCAAAATGCTTCAGAATATAAATATTTCAAAATTTCAAAATAAATTTTAGGAGATCTCAACAGACACTTAAAATACTAAATGTAAATAACTATTTTTTCCTAACAGAACAAATTTTCAACCTTCCAGTATTACGATTAAACTGAGAAAACACCTTTGTTTAAGAAGTTTTACAGAAATAGTGCTCTTTTTTAAAAATTTTCATTGAAAACCTTGATATAAATTTTGTTTAATTGACGCGATAAAATATGTATGCATACTTGGTTATTAAATATTCTGGTAATCTTTCAAAACTGTTTTATCATTCGAGTAAAATGATTTTATTTTGAACCACTTCAAAAAAATTATTTATTTAGTTGCTAAATATGATTATTAATTTCGTGTTGAATTTTTCAATAGGATTTTAAACTTATTTTTCATAATGGTTATGTGAATTACGAGGAAATTAATTTATGATCTAAATAAAATTTTGGTAATTCAATTTTTTTTCCAGAAATTAAATTTTGACTTTAGACTAATGCAGTTCTACTGAGAAATATTTTAGTTTGAGTAGTTTTTCGGAAAAATTTTATTTTCTTCATAATTTTAATTGAAAATTTTAAAGCGGATTCTATTTAATTGGCATGATTTAAAATATGCATGCATGGATTTGTTCATTATCTACCTTGATAATCATGCCATTTAGAACTGTTTTTATGACGAACTTTTTGAGCTATTTTGCAAAAAAAAATCAAGGCGAGTTAATTATATAGTTGGTTAATTTGATTACTAATTTCGTTTTCAATTTTTTAATAAGGTTTCAAATTTTCTTTTTCTTAAGCGTTATGCACTGTAAGTAAAGTTGAGTAAAATTGCCACCAAAGCAACTATTGAGTAAAATTTACCCTGACAAAGGTAAAATTTACTCAAGGTTGAGCAAAAATCTTTCAACCTTGAGGAAATTTTACCTTTCTCAGGGTAAATTTTACTCAATAGTTGCTTTGGTGGCAATTTTACTCAAAATTGAGTAAATTTTAATCAAATTTATTTAGAGTGTGTGAATAACGAAGAAATTAATTTAGGAAATAAATAAATTCAACCCGTACAAATCAAGTTGACACCTTAGTAAAGTATAGTAATTTAATTTTTTCCAGAAATTAAATTTTGACTTTAGACCTATGCAGTTCGACTGATTTTGAGAACTATTTTTGAGTAACTTATTCAAAAGTCAGAAAAAAATATTCATTCAATATTAATTCAAATTTTGAATATTGAATGAATAATTTATTCATTCATCATTAAATGAATGAACGTGAATGGGTCGGTACAGGCAAAATTGCAACATCTCGTTTCTATGGTTTATTTAGTTGATACATAATTATTAATTTAATCTCCAATTTTGGTTACTAAAGGATTTCAAATTTTTTTCGTAAGAGTTAGTTGAATCGTGCAGAAATTGATTTAGGAAATAAATTGCATTCAATTTTATAATATTATGCTAAATGTCTGTTTAAATATACTTTTGCAATTAACTTTTGCAATTAATTTTTGCAATTAACTTTTGCAATTAATTTTTCTGCAAAAAATTAATTTCTGGCTTTACGAGTCGCGTTTCGATTTGTAATTATTTTAGTTTCGAAAGTTTTTCATGCATGGTGTTCATTTTTGAAGGAATAATTTTGATTGGCAATTTTGACCAGAATTTTTTTAATTGACTCGATTTATGCATTCATATTTGGCCATTACAAATTTTGACAATTTTGTAAAACTATTTTATTCCAGTAATGATTAACTTTTGAACTATTTTAGTCACAAAAAATGGTGAAAATTTAATTATTTCGTTGGCAAGTTATTAATAATTTCGTCCTCAGTTAATTTTTAATACGATTTCAAAGTTCTCTCCACAATAGTTATTTACATAACGTAGAAATTAATTTAGGAAAATAAAAAAAACCGGAATGGTGTCTTTGCCATCTCAAAATACTTTAGGTATTACTTCTCCAAAAAAATTTAACTATTGACTTTTAAGTGTTGCCATCAATTTAGAAATATTTCTGACAAGTTTTTCAGAAATTAGGGTTCTTTTTTAAAATTTCCTTAAAAATTTGTAATGGATTTCCTTTAATTGTATTCTTATTTGGTCCTTACATATTTTTATAATCTTGTAAAACTGTTTGTATGCGAGTAATGATAAACTTCTTAACTGCTTAACGAAATGTGGCCATTTAATTATTTAATTGTTAAATGGTTATTAATTTCGTCTTTCATATTACTTCTTTTAATAACATGGAAATTAATTTAGCACGATAAAAACTTGAACTTCCAATTGTGAAATACACGTGTGTGTATCTTAAAATTGTAAAATAATTTTGCACTTTTTCAGAAATAGTACTTATTTTTGAACAGCTTAATATGCATTTTCTTTAATTAACCACTTAACAAGAGAAATTTCATACGAATTTTTTGTGAAATATTTGTCCATATTTTTATAACCTTGTAAAACCGTTTTTTATACGACTAGTAATGAACTTTTGAACTGTTTCACAAAAAATGTGACAATTAAATAAATTATATAAATTATTATTAATTATTTTCTAAATACCTACAATTTCTAAACCATTTAAATTTGTAATTTAAATTTCTCTTAGTTTAACGTACAAATTAATTTAGTAAATCAATAACCTTTAATTGTCCAAGAACCACGCTTCACCTGATTAAAATTATGAAATTCCTTTTCTCCTAAAATTGACTTTCAACTTTTGGGTATGGCAACTGTTCAATTCGTAGTTATAGCTTAGTAGAAGATAAGTTAAAATCAATTGTAAAGATATGAATTGGCCTATCCAGTAATTTTTATAGCGTATTTTTTAAGTAGGTGCTATGTAGATACGCATTCCATATCCTATGTATGGCAATATCCTTTGTATGGCAATATCCTTTGTATGGCAATATCCTTTCTATAAGGTGGTTGAGGGATTCGGATAATGAGTAAGTGTAAGTGGGAGAATGAGAAGATAAGGGGCGCGATGGTTTTGGTAGTCAAGAACTACGTATTTTTTAAGTTAGTATAAGAAAAGTATTGTAAGAAGTCAAGTTGGAATTTGTGGTCGTGCGAAGAATTAATTAAATAAAGTCCTAATTAATTAAAGTTGCTATAACTAATTACAGTATTCAAGTTCTTTATTGACTCGCCGACATTATAAATAAAGTGAAATTGTTGGGACTAAAGTTCTAAGTTAAAAGGGCACATCTAGGCATCCAAGTTAATTAAAGTTAAAGTGCCCTTATCGAGCTCAATAACCAGATCTGCAGGCATATTCATAGGTGTTACGGATTCGACGGTTAGTTGGATCGACCGAGCACAACATTTTTTGGTGACCTCGACGTGATGCAGATCTGAGGAAGGTGCCTTGTGACCGTGGATGCAAAGCTGAATCGGCGAGGACCAGGAGCTTAAAAGGAGATATCACAAAATTTTGCCACCTTGTGGACCCCACCCTGAGTATTCGGGGTCAGAGCAGGTGATATCCATTTCAATTGATTGTTATTGTTCGCGTGATAAGGAGCCATCAGGATTAATTGAGATCATCCCACCACCTTGTCGTCGTGGAATATTTGTTGAATTGCCACTTTGTGGGCCCGACCCTGTGCATTCGGGGGCGATTGAGGTGGAGATTGTTCCTTGGGATATTTTGAGAGAATATTTTTTAATTGTTATTTGGGTTTATTGGTCCTGAGATTGAAGCATCACCATGGATCGGCTCAAGATGGTCAGGAAATCTGGGAGATCAGCCATTACGAAGACGGTGAACGAGTTGACGGCTGAAGTTGAAAGAGAAAACCCAGGCTTAGTGGAACTGCAGGTCTTGCTCCAGCGTTTGGAAGTGATAAGTGAGGAAGTGGAGGACTTGGACCAGAAAGTGCTCGGCTTGATGTTGGATGGTCCGTGTACTGAAGAAGAGTACGAAAATGAGAAGACGACCATCATCGGATACAAGGACAAGATTTCAAGAGCAAGAATCCGAGCAGGAAGAATTCTGAATAAAACTCCAAGTCCACCTCCAAGTTCGGCTGGAGGTTATGTGTCAGTGTTTAGTGATGCAGGATCAGGAGGAACTCAAAAGCAAAAGCGATTCAAGTTACCGAAAATTGAGTTACCAAAGTTTGATGGCGTTTTGCAGAAATGGCTTGGATGGTGGAGTCAATTTGAGAAGATACATGAACAGGAGGACCTCCACGCCAGTGATAAGTTTCAGTATCTCATCCAGGCTACTGAAAATAAATCTGAAGCAAGAGACATTGTGGAATCCTTCCCTCCCACGGGTGATAATTATGAATTGGCGATAGCAGCCCTGAAGGAGCGTTACGGAAGAGAGGATCTCCAACTACAAGTTTATTTGAGGCAGTTATTGGGACTCGTCATCAACAACGCTGGAAAGAAAGAGAAAATAGGAGTGGACAAGCTGTATTTGAAGTTGGAGTCGGCG